CAGTTGCTGTGAGCGTGTCAGATTGGACTCGGCTTCGCTGTTAACTTCGTATTATCGATCGGTATAATACAATTATTCTCGCTTTAACTCTTAGTGAGCATGGATTAGTGTGTTATATCAGGTCCCCAAGTTCAGATCTCAACGCAAAATCAGTTCTTATGCATAATTCAGGAAAGAAACACACAACACTTCCGCGTTAATCAATTTTATTTCTAACTAAACTTTAACTCTAAAAGATGCACTCTCGGCTCGGAATTCCAACACAGAAACAACACAGTATCATCAACGACTGCGTGGTTTCACTTTGACATTCCCCCCCCACCCCCCCCCCCCCCCCTCCCCGTAATGCGAGCAGTTGGTGAGAGAGAGAGATGCTAAGGCATGCATACACTATTCTAACAAAACCTTAACTTTATAATATTCAAATTGGTATTCTTGAAAATTGCCCACACCGTCCTGCATTCATTTATAGATCCATAAGCAACCTTCAAGGCAAATTTTATCCCGTTTAACCTTGGATATCAGAGCCATTAATTCTTATGCAGCGTAACACGAACGCGTGCGGCAATTATGAACGAAAGGTACTTAACGATCATACGGCGATAAAAGACAATCAAAAACAGTTATTATTCTCAAAGGCACATATCAATAGATCCATCGGCAAGATTATATGATTACAGAAATGGCTTGGAGTGAGGGCGTGCGATGGTGTCAAGGATCAATTCGTATTGATGGATCTGTTGGTAATTTATGCGATCAGAAGTACAATCCAAAACAAAAGCATTGAGGAAAATTATTACTGTACTTATAAACGACGGATGGTTATCCTTGGTCTGTCGCGATGCTTTTACGGCCACTGATGGTTCACGTCTTGAGGAATAGGCTTTAGTTAATGACTTGTGTGTGTTTTGAGTGATATGGATTGTGGAGTAGGCCAATGTTCGGAATTAATTATTTGCGTCAAGCAGACGCCTGGTTTGTCGTGTGGTGGGGGCAGCGTATCATACGTATGGTAGGTCCTCCACATCAGTTGATTCGACCCTCGCTGGTTGACGGATTGGCACGGTGCTGTAGTCGCGGCGCTCGGTCGGTAGATGGTGATCACAGCTCGCCACAGCTGTCGCGGCCGTGCGCCGCCGGCGTGATGGCCGGCAGAAGGCCCGCTCGTAGCGGCCGTGTTGCACGATCGGTAGATGGCGCTCATCTGCTGGTCACTGTCACGGTTGTCGTTGACGTGATGGTCACCGGCGTTGGCGATGTACGTTCGCTGCGAGGCTCCCTTTTGATGGTGCTTACTCGCACCGCGTAGCCTGTCGCTAAACAGCGGGTCTCGCCATTCTGGCGAGCGGTAGAGACTTCTTCTGCGTCGGTGATAGTTGATCTTCTGATGGTGGTTCTTCTTCTGCATGCTGTAGCGCTCTCTCTCTTTATGCCAAAATCTCTCCCCTTGGCTCCTCCTCCTTACGTGGGCGGAGCCCCCTTTGATCTAGCTGTGTGTCGTGGGGTTGTGTGTGCGTGTCTGTATGTGTGTGCATGTGTGTGTCATTTATGACATAGTTCCGTTGTTGGCTTCCTCGAGCCATAAACCTTCAAAGGACACAGATGCTTCAAAATCATCTCGAAGGCATCCCTCTGTCTGCGCTATACAATCTGAAGGGAGGGGCGAGATCCCCCCTTGTAGGACATTTCCCGGCGCACTCCACCTGCAGGTGGTTCACAGACTTCCTGTCTGACAGGAAGTAGTGCGTTAAGCTGGGAACTCAAGTCTCTGAATCCAGGTCCATCAGCACCGGAACTCCTCAGGGCTGCGTCCTTTCCCCACTGCTCTTCTCCCTGTATACCAACAGCTGCACCTCCAATCATCTGTCCGTCAAACTCTTGAAGTTTGCGGACGACACCACCCTCATTGGGCTGATCTCTGGTGGGGATGAGTCTGACAATAGGTGGGAAGCTGACAACCTGGTGACCTGGTATAGCCAGAACAACTCAGAGCTAAATGCTCTAAAGACAGTTGAGATGGTTGTGGACTTCAGGAAGAATACAGCCCCACTCACCCCCATCACCCTGTTAGACTCCCCAGTCAAAATTGTAGAGTCCTTCCGCTTCCTGGGCACTATTCTCTCCCGGGACCTCAAGTGGGAACTGAACATCAGCTCCCTCACCAAGAGAGCTCAACAGAGGATGTACTTTCTATGGCAGCTGAAGAAATTCAACCTGCAAAAGACAATGATGGTGCAATTCTATACAGCGATCATTGAATCCATCCTCACCTCCTCCATAACCGTCTGGTACGCTGCTGCCACTGCTAAGGACAAGAGCAGACTGCAACGTATCATCCACACTGCTGAGAAGGTAATTGCCTGCAATCTACCAACCCTCGAGGACCTGCACACGACAAGGACCATGAGGCGAGCGAGGAAGATTGTGGCCGATTCCTCCCACCCTGGACAATCTCTGTTTCAGCTACTTCCCTCCGGCAGAAGGCTTCGGTCCATAGGACCAAAACCTCACGCCATAAAAACAGTTTCTTCCCATCTGCTGCTGGCCTGTTAAACAAGGCCAAGGGCTTACACTGATTTTAACATTTTATCTAGATAATGACACCATTGCCGATATTAACTATGTTAACCTATTTGCATTTTAAAATTATATCTTAAAGCTATTTTATATTCGATATTTATTCAATTTTATATACTTCAGCCCCTTGGTGTTAGTTAGACTTTTAACCCTTATTATTATAGTAAGACTTGTTTAAAACTTATTTAAGATTTTAGATTCCTATATGTTGAATGTATGCACCATCCTACCAAAGTAAATTCCGTGTCGGTGTGAACTTTCATGGCGAATAAAAAACCCTTTCTGATCCCATCACGGTTCGGCATCGTACCACTCGCAGCTATGATTCTGTCTGTGACTCAAGGTATTTGGTTTTATTTCCACGAGGAGATGATGCTCTCTTGAGCGTATGCATATTCTTATGTGCTGCACGAAGACAAAGGCGGCCGGGAGACTCTCTTTTTCCCTGGCCCCCGGTTTAACATTGCTCAAGTATCATGTGGTTTATGTTCGACAAGGTTGTGATTCACCCCGTTATCCTGGCCCTTCCTCAGTTTTTTTAAATTAATTTCGTCATCCCGTGCGTATGCTTATCATTATATCATTTTATTTCCGATATCCTGGGTTAAGAGGTATGTTTGTTGATCCTGGGAATTCGTATTCCTTGGTGTCTGCATGATTATATAAACGGAATATAGTTTACGGTGAATAGCGTTAAAATTCGTGTTACGTATGAAATTATGTATTGTGGTTTCTTTAACTTAACTTGCTCGGCGCGGTTTTTCTGTGCATTACTTTGTCTGCCCGTGGTAGCGGGGTGGGGTGGGGGGCCATTATTAAGTCCCGCGTCTCGGGTGTGCAGATGGCCCTCGTGATAAGGTGTAATTCCTGCTTTCCCGCGCTGCGGGAAGACAAAGGCAGTCGGGGTCTCTTGGAATATTGGTTAAACTCGTTTCGTAAGTTTGCCCGTTCGTCTCATTCCTTCTCGATGGCCCTTGATGTGACTGTATTTTCTGTCCCCAATATTTGATTTAACAGTAAAAGTATTAAGGGTGAAAACCATTTGATATCGAATTAATAAATGGGTAATGATTCACTGATATAGATTATGGCCTGGCTTTTAATTGGAGTGGGTGTGAGGATCGATAATGTTAGCTTATTCTTGTTGTGGAATTTTGAACTTTAACCGTCGTTTTAATAGCAAATGAGAGGGAAATTTGTTAACTCGCTCGGCGCCGTCATGTCTCGTCTTCCCAGATGGAGCCATGTACTGTTCATTTTCCATTTGTCGTTGTACTGTTGCATGCCGCGTTGGCGACAGCTGCATACTTATGCACCTTTGCTCCTAATAAAGGGTGTCTTGTGAAGTGGCATGCTTTGTGTGGTTGCTCCTGAATGATAGCGTGTATGTACAAAAAAAAGTTATATTAATCACATCAGACCATGTAATAATTGCCCTAAATCCCTCACTACAATATAGCAGCATGAACCACATAATGAAATTTCGATTTTTCCATCTCAAAAATTCACATCCCCCGATGGTTTGTGGTAATGAAGGTGGTGCGAATGCACCTGATGGCAGATGATGCTCAAATAGCATTTCCCAGGGCGCTCGGGAATGGTACTGTAATACCTGGCAGTGTAAGGGTTGGCACATTAGGTATGACAAGGAATCGCAAAAGGTGGTTTAATGAGCTATTCTGTCTACTCTAGGGGAAGTAGAATATAAATCCAAAATATAGGAAATAGGTAAGATTGGTGATTTAACTCGTTGATGGTATTGTGGGTAATGACGACATTTGCTTATTTTCAACATCAGATTTTTATTTATATTTTCCAGCATGTGAATTAGGCTAAAAATGTCACTCAGCTCAAACTAGCATGTGGTGATGGTCACTTCCATTAAAAGCCCTGAACTAGTAGTGAAAATTCCATAATACCATGGAAGGAGCAAGTTTATCCATGGGGAGTCTATTAGTTTACATCCCATAGAGGATCACCTGTTTTATTCATCCAAAAAGGGATGATGGGCTGAGTCGAACCCTCATCCAGATTGCATCGGACTTGCTAACCTCAGCACCCCTGGCCATGTATATTATTCCAATCGTGGTTGTATAATTGGTAAGAGGTGAATTTAAATATTAATAGCATTATTTTTTGTAACTCTCACTGGGGATTTTTGTCACTTTTTTTTTTACAAATCTAAATTTGGCTGCCTAAAGCAACAAATGTATACTCTTTATAATTGGTGGATTGATGGTGTTGAAAAGCCCTTTTTAAATTAAATTTCCTCTCTCCCATGTCTCCACACATTGCCACAACAATCTTTACGGTGTCTCGAGATGTCGTGCCATTGAAAAGATTTGTAAAATCACGATGTAAAAAATGGCTCGGTGGGAGTTCCACACGCACTCACTAAAACCGTGCGCGCGCCGCTCGAACAGGTTTCTTATCGGACCCCGACAACATCCCTGGACTGGCTCATTTCTGCGAGCACATGCTTTTCCTGGGAACGAAGAAATACCCACAGGAGAATGAGTACAGCCAGTTCCTGAACGAGCATGCGGGCAGCTCCAATGCTTTCACCAGCGGCGAGCACACAAACTTCTACTTTGATGTGTCGCACGAGCACCTGGGCGGCGCCCTTGACAGGTATTTCCCTCCACGGCCACGCAGAACCTTGGGCACGGACGGCACGGCGCCGGGTATGGCTTCAGCAGTTGTCGAATGCGCGACAGGATCTGGAAGAGGAATCTTGTTCGGTAAAGTCACGTAAAAGTGTAAAACACAGCCAAGCTCAGACCGCGACCTTTAAGCTTAAAGGTCGCGGTCTGAGCTTGGCTGTGTTCGCTCCAGCGCTGTCCTCGAGACAGTCTCGTCCCTTCACCTGATGAAGGCCACTTGTGTTGTGGCCGAAATGTCGTGAATTTTTTATTTTTGTTGTTTTATACTTTTACGTGACTTTACCGAATAGAACCAAAGAGTTTGGATCCTTGCAGTCACGAAAGCTTCAAATCTAGAAAGGAATCTTGTTTGGATAAAAAATGAATAGCCTTTACCCCCATTTCCAACAAAAATACAGGAGGTTTTAAGATGTTCAGACAGCAAATAGACACCTATCACAAGGCGTCACGTCTGCATTAACCACACATGCTTGTGGAAAACATGCAAACAAACATGCTTTTATAATGTATGCATTGTCATTCAAACTAATTGGCCTAATGAGTGAGTGTTGAGAAACACTCACCCGTTACCTTGGATTTGGAGTTACAATAGCATTGCTTTTAAGCCTTCGGACTCAATCTCTTCATGCAGTGTCATTAGTGGCATTAACGCCCACCGCTCAGGAGATTTTTCCCCATGAGCATTGTTATTCTGTTGCGTTAGCCCGAGTGCCATTAAGCAATTAAAGTTATGGTTTCATCACACTAATAGGTATTTGAATTAAAACCGTCAAGGCCTGAGAATATATCTAAATTACTGCGTGCTCTGGATGCACACTAAGTTTTACACACTGTAGAAATTGCTTTGTATTTAACATCATGTTCCGCATTCTGAATCTGTATCTTTAAGTGATCGAATGTAAAATGATGAATACCGTTATATCAGAGGTTACAATACAAATATTGGATCTGTTTCACATCTTGGCAAATGCACTTTGTTTATTGGCAAAAAATGTACTGCTGTCTCTTATCAACAGTGGGGGAAATGTGCAAGGTAATGTGTTTTGTCTGTTACATTAAGACGTTAAACTGGCCCATTAAGTACAACACCCAGTATGAGTCATTCGTAATTTCAGAGCCCCCAAATCTCAAAAGGTCATATCCACCCTTCATATATTTAACACGTAAAGAAATGCATTTGATAACACCTCAGCTCCATCATCATTAACGCTGCCTTATGACAGCATTCTGATTTTTACAAATACCATGCTGCAAACATTAATCCTTTCTGTATACTGAGCTCCACTATTTGATAAGCTTTTTGCAAGCCGCTGATTCTTTTAATAATCCAGTTGCCTACGGAGGAGACGCCCACGATCGGGATAATGTCACATTTGCCTGCTTCAGGTTTTCCCAGTTCTTCCTGTGCCCACTCTTCGATGCAAGCTGCAAGGATCGCGAGGTCAATGCGGTGGACTCGGAGAACGAGAAGAACCTCATGAATGACTCCTGGAGGCTCTTTCAGCTGGAGAAGTCGACTGGAAACCCGACTCACCCGTTCAGCAAGTTTGGCACAGGTCTGGCTGAATGCCACAGTCCCTTTTAGCCTGCCCAACACACCGAGTGCTATTACATATTTTATTGCTGAAAAATAAAACTAAGTTACAACTTCCAGCTCAAATTTTTTTTTCATATATGTCTTACCAAAACCACTTACCAAATGGGGAAGCTTGTTTTCGCATAAGGAATGATGTATGATTACAATGTCGAATTCTGGTTAACTCGAGACTTTTGCCTAAAAGTTTGACCAATTTGTGAATAGTTTTTTATCGTCGGTTTAATGATGTCACTTTTGTAACTCTTGACTTGTAAACGCTAGTTCGCATTGCTAATGATCAAATAATTTGGCGATTGCTGCGTTGGCAGTGGTGCACAAGCACAATGAACAAAAATCTCGACACACGCGTCAACATCGCTACCTTATATTTAAAAAAAATTCTGTTTAAGGCATTGTTCTATTGAGGCCGTCATGTTCTTTTGAGTTTTCAAGTAATGACATACCCTCATTTTCTTTTACAGGAAACAAGAACACGCTCTCGACCAGACCTTCGGAGCTCGGATTAGATGTCAGAGATGAACTGTTAAAATTTCATTCCAACTATTACTCATCCAACCTCATGTCACTCTGCGTGCTTGGGAGAGGTGAGTCATGTAATATTTAAAAAAATATTTTTTACATTAACTCGTGAACTCACAATGAAATCTGCAAGTAAAACGGGTTTAATACATCAGCACTTCTAATTGAACGGTCATCCGTGTAGCATGAACAGCATACAAATCTAAACGCTTTTTTTTTCTGTGATATTTTTGCAATGTTGGTTTCCTGAGTTAAATTGACCCCAGCAATAAACATATCTAAGTAATTTTGCTCCAAAATCCATTAAGGGGTCACAGGCGTGTTTATGTGGGAGCTCTAACCCAGTTGCCAATGGATGTGTCCCTCTCGTGGGACACAGCACAAATCTGGTGGAAGTAATGTAGTAGAGTGCTGCATTATTGATATTTCAGCAACTTCTCTTCTCATTGCGGCTGCTAGCTAATGCCACGTCAAGTAAAAGTGTTTGCTCAAAGATGGAAAATGGCACGGTTTGACTCCATTATCATCCTTGCTCCAGAAGTGGAGGTTCCACATTCCCATGTCGGGGCTGGTCAATCCACAGGATAGCATTTGTTGTCTGCCCACAAAGTGGTACTCGCATTATATAGACCCAGATTGGTGATATGCTGAGCTGTTCAGAGACTGGGATTTGAACTTAAAACCTTATGATCATATGTTGAGCACTAAAACCATAGCACCACAGGTAAGACGCTGTGACATGGCATTGGGCGTAAATCTGTCCCATGTGCATTCCCACTCAGCGTATTTACTGCAGCACTCTGCTTTGTGCATTGGAGTTACCATTCTTCCCTTCACACGCATTGACCTAAGCTCGGTTAATTCTCCAGGCGTCGGTACTTCTGTATTGATAAAGGATGTTTGTTGTTGCAGAACCACTGGATGAGATGATGGAGATGGTTGTGAAGCTGTTTGCTCAGGTAGAGAATAAGAACGTGCCCATCCCGGATTTCCCTGAGCACCCCTTTCAGGAGGAGCACCTCAAGGTAATGATGATGATTTCCATTGTAATTATCATAGACATCATTAAATTACATGGCATGAACTTTTGAGCGGTGGTGGCGTATGCCTGTAATCCAGGTCTTTGGAGGCGATGGTTGGTGGATCATATAAATCTGAAATTTCCTTCCCATGGGTGTCCCGGCGCCATTCCCTGGCTTTCCAGAAGAAGGCGGTAAAGCAATTGTAGACTCCACCTATTCCGTCTCTATGGGCTGGAGCGTTGTCCCTTCGCGCCTGTGGATATTCTCCACCAGCAGTGTTGCAAGATAGGAATTGCAGGGCTGCATCTTTACCTTCAACGCTAGCATTTGCCATTAATTTAAAATATGTACAGCCTTTTCTCATTCCACTGCTGGTGAAGGTCTCCCAGAATTTTGTCGGTCATGTGGGTTGTTTGACCATACTGCACCATGCTGGGCAGTGCCAGGTTGCCTAGGACAGGTTCAGATTTTATTTGTCACTGATGTTAGCCTTGGCTGGGAATCAAACTAATTTTATCGGTTTTTTTAGAGCAGTTTACATAGCACTGTACCACCGCTCCCGTTATATAAGCCCAAAATTTCCACTCCCTAGGTTCAGGGCTGCCAATACAGATGAACACTGCAAGCTGCTTAGTTAAACTCGATGACACTTTGACCTTTTTGAGTTGAGGGTATTACAATTCATCATTCGCCTTCAGTTTCAGTATAAATGGCCCTTTCATCTATGTGCACAAAGGCGACAGACTTGAAATAAATTCACCCCTTTTCAGCCAATGTTGAGTTTTCTTTTTGGGAAATAATAATACATATAGTTAATGTACAGTATATAATGCAGGTGTTTTTCATCATATTCTGCATGCTGTGATTCCCACAAAGAGTACAGTTCACATTCTTGCTGCAGAATAAACAACAAAATATTGTGTACCTATAAGACATGCAGCGTTTGTATTTAGTATTCAATAGATTAAGTATTCTTAGTCGATGGAAGTCACAAGCCCTGTGTAATTGGCAGTTGTCACCTGACTTGAGGTCACGGTACATTTGGTCACATGATGCTATTGACAAAGGATTTTTGGCCACCAAGGCCTCTATGTGAAGAATGTTAAGAACACCTGAAGAAGGCTGCATGAGCTGTGGTGTTTTAGCCTGCAGTGAGGGAAAAAAGTATTTGATCCCCTGCTGATTTTGTACGTTTGCCCACTAACAAAGAAATGATCAGTCTATAATTTTAATGATAGGTTTATTTGAACAGTAAGAGACAGAATAACAAGAAAATCCAGAAAAACGCATGTCAAAAATGTTATAAATTGATTTGCATTTTAATGAGGGAAATAAGTATTTGACCACCTCTCAATCAGAAAGATTTCTGGTTCCCAGGTGTCTTTATAAAGGTAACGAGCTGAGATTAGGAGCACACTCTTAAAGGGAGTGCTCCTAATCTCAGCTTGTTACCTGTATAAAAGACACCTGTCCACAGAAGCAATCAATCAATCAGATTCCAAACTCTCTACCATGGCCAAGACCAAAGAGCTCTCCAAGGATGTCAGGGACAAGATTGTAGACCTGCACAAGGCTGGAATGGGCTACAAGACCATTGCCAAGCAGCTTGGTGAGAAGGTGACAACAGTTGGTGCGATTATTCGCAAATGTAAGAAACACAAAAAAACGGTCAATCTCCCTCGGCCTGGGGCTCCATGCAAGATCTCACCTCGTGGAGTTGCAATGATCATGAGAACGGTGAGGAATCAGCCCAGAACTACACAGGAGGATCTTGTTAATGATCTCAAGGCAGCTGGGACCATAGTCACCAAGAAAACAATTGGTAACACTCTACGCCGTGAAGGACTGAAATCCTGCAGCGCCTGCAAGGTCCCCTTGCTCAAGAAAGCACATATACATGCCCTTCTGAAGTTTGCCAATGAATATCTGAATGATTCAGAGGACAACTGGGTGAAATTGTTGTGGTCAGATGAGACCAAAATGGAGCTCTTTGGCATCAACTCAACTCGCCGTGTTTGGAGGAGGAGGAATGCTGCCTATGACCCCAAGAACACCATCCCCACCGTTAAACATGGAGGTGGAAACATCAGAATCAGAAAGGGTTTTATTCGCCATGAAAGTTCACACCGACACGGAATTTACTTTGGCAGGATGGTGCATACATTCAACATATAGGAATCTAAAATCTTAAATAAGTTTTAAACAAGTCTTACTATAATAATAAGGGTTAAAAGTCTAACTAACACCAAGGGGCTGAAGTATATAAAATTGAATAAATATCGAATATAAAATAGCTTTAAGATATAATTTTAAAATAAAAAATACAAATAGGTTAACATAGTTAATATCGGCAAGGTGTCATTATGTAGATAAAATGTTAAAATCAGTGTAAGCCCTTGGCCTTGTTTAACAGGCCAGCAGCAGATGGGAAGAAACTGTTTTTATGGCGTGAGGTTTTGGTCCTGATGGACCGAAGCCTTCTGCCGGAGGGGAGTAGCTGAAACAGAGAGTGTCCAGGGTGGGAGGAATCGGCCACAATCTTCCTCGCTCGCCTCATGGTCCTTGTCGTGTGCAGGTCCTCGAGGGTTGGTAGATTGCAGGCAATTACCTTCTCAGCAGTGTGGATGATACGCTGCAGTCTGCTCTTGTCCTTGGCAGTGGCAGCAGCGTACCAGACGGTTATGGAGGAGGTGAGGATGGATTTAATGATCGCTGTATAGAATTGCACCATCATTGTCTTTGGCAGGTTGAATTTCTTCAGCTGCCGTAGAAAGTACATCCTCTGTTGAGCTCTCTTGGTGAGGGAGCTGATGTTCAGTTCCCACTTGAGGTCCCGGGAGAGAATAGTGCCCAGGAAGTGGAAGGACTCTACAATTTTGACTGGGGAGTCTAACAGGGTGATGGGGGTGAGTGGGGCTGTATTCTTCCTGAAGTCCACAACCATCTCAACTGTCTTTAGAGCATTTAGCTCTAAGTTGTTCTAGCTACACCAGGTCACCAGGTTGTCAGCTTCCCACCTATAGTCAGACTCATCCCCACCAGAGATCAGCCCATTGAGGGTGGTGTCGTCCGCAAACTTCAAGAGTTTGACGGACAGATGATTGGAGGTGCAGCTGTTGGTATACAGGGAGAAGAGCAGTGGGGATAGGACGCAGCCCTGAGGAGTTCCGGTGCTGATGGACCTGGAGTCAGAGACTTGTGTTCCCAGCTTAACGCACTGCTTCCTGTCAGACAGGAAGTCTGTGATCCACCTGCAGGTGGAGTAGGGCACGTTCAGCTGGAAGAGCTTGTCCTGAAGCAGGGCAGGGATGATGGTGTTGAAGGCAGAGCTGAAGTCCACAAACAGGATCCTGGCGTAGGATGCTGGGGCGTCCAGATGCTGTAGGGTGAAGTGGAGGGCCATGTTAACTGCGTCGTCCACAGACCTATTGGCTCTGTAGGCAAACTGAAGGGGGTCCAGGAGAGGGTCTGTGATGGCTTTGAGGTGTGCCAGGACCAGGCGCTCAAAAGACTTCATTACCACAGATGTAAGGGCGACCGGTCTGTAATAATTTAGTCCTGTTGGCCTTAGCTTTTTGGGCACAGGGATGATGGTGGAGGACTTGAGACAGGCTGGTGCATGGCATGTCTCCAGGGAGGTGTTAAAGATGTTGGTGAACACCGGAGACAGCTGGTCAGCGCAGTGCCTGAGGGTGGCTGGAGAGACAGAGTCCGGCCCGGCTGCTTTGCGTGGATTCTGCCTCTTGAAAAGTCTATTAACTTCTCCCTCCTGAAAGGAGAGAGTCATCTCTGTAGTATGGGTGGGGGATGGGGCCTCTTGGGTGGGAAGGGGTGGTTCTGGACAGTCCAATTGTCTTTCAAATTTACAGTAGAACTCGTTCAGGTCGTTGGCTAGGCGGGAGTCGTTAGTGGTGTGGGGGGCTCTGGGTTTGTAGTTGGTGATCTGCCTGAGCCCTCTCCAGACAGAAGCAGCATCGTTAGTAGAGAACTGGTGTTTTAGTCTCTCTGAGTACAGTCGTTTAGCCTCTCTCACCGCCTTGCTAAACCTGTTTTTCGACTCCTTGAATCTGTCTCTATCCCCACTCCTAAACGCTTCCTCCTTCTCCAACCTCAACCTTCTGAGCTTTGAGAACCAGGGATTGTTGTTGTTGTTAAAGTTCACCCTGGTACGTGTTGGGATACAGCAGTCCTCACAGAAGCTGATGTAGGACGTCACAGCCTCTGTGAGTTCATCCAGACTATTGGTAGCAGTCGTGAACATATCCCAGTCAGTACAGTCTAAGCACGCCCGCAAATCTTCCACAGCCTCACTGGTCCACTGTTTAGATGTCCTCACAGCAGGTTTACAGAGTTTTAGTTTCTGCCTGTATGCAGGAATCAGGTGGACCATGGCATGGTCAGAGTGTCCTAGTGCTGCTCGGGGGACGGCGTGGTAGGCTCTACTGATTGTAGTGTAGCAGTGATCCAGAGTGTTCCTTTCTCTGGTTGGGCATTTAATGAATTGTATGTATTTGGGGAGTTCGTGGCTGAGATTACCTTCGTTAAAGTCGCCAAGTACGATAACCAACGAATCTGGATTTGCTCGCTCCACACTCAGAATCTGATCGGTGAGCATGCATTGGGCCTCTTTAACCTGAGGACAAGGCGGCAAATAAACTCCGACCAAAATGAGCGACGCGAACTCGCGAGGCGAGTAAAACGGTTTACAGGTTATAAAAATTGATTCAAGGAGTGGAGAACAATGTTGCAGAATCACTGTGACATCTACACACCAGCCACTGTTAATGTAAAAACAAATACCACCGCCTTTCGTCTTGCCGGAGAGTGCTATGTCACGATCCGATCTTACAAGATGGAATCCTGCTAGTTGTAGCGAAGTGTCCGGAATCAAATCACAAAGCCATGTTTCCGTGAAGCACAAAACAGAAGATGAAAGAAAGTCTTTGTTTTTTACCATCAGTAGCTGAAGTTCATCCATTTTGTTGTACAGTGAACGTACGTTGGAGAGGAAAAAGCTCGGAAGCACTGTTCGGATTCCGCGTCTGCGTAGCCGTACTAGAGCCCCCGACCGTTTACCCCTTGGGCGGCGTTTCGCTGCTTGAGCAAAGCCTAGCGCGGCATTGACTAGAATGCCTACTAATTCTGCCGCTGGAAGCAGAAAAGTAGGAATTAAATCCACAGGGGTTGTTTCCCTGATATATAAAAGTTCGTCTCTTTTTAGAGAACTCCGAAAATCTTGGCAAAACACTGATTTGACAGACAAAACAAGACAAAACAGGGCGCACCGACCGGCTGAGGCTACCATCATCGGCGCCATCTTCGCACCAGCACGGGTGTGCTGAACAGCAGGACTCTCTCACCAGCACTGGTGTGATGAACAGTAGGCCCCTCTCACCAGCACGGGTGTGATGAACAGTAGGCCTCTCTCACCAGAACGGGTGTGTTGAACAGCAGGCCCCTCTCACCAACACGGGTGTGATGAACAGCAGGCCCCTCTCACCAGCACGGGTGTGATGAACAGCAGGCCTCTCTCACCAACACGGGTGTGCTGAACAGCAGGCCTCTCTCACCAGCACGGGTGTGTTGAACAGCAGGCCCCTCTCACCAGCACGGGTGTGATGAACAGTAGGCCTCTCTCACCAGCACGGGTGTGCTGAACAGCAGGCCCCTCTCACCAACACGGGTGTGATGAACAGTAGGCCTCTCTCACCAGCACGGGTGTGCTGAACAGCAGGCCCCTCTCACCAGCAGGGGTGTGTTGAACAGCAGGCCCCGCTCACCAACACGGGTGTGTTGAACAGCAGGCCCCTCTCACCAGCACGGGTGTGTTGAACAGCAGGCCCCTCTCACCAGCACAGGTGTGCTGAACAGCAGGCCCCTCTCACCAGCACGGGTGTGCTGAACAGCAGGCCCCTCTCACCAGCACGGGTGTGCTGAACAGCAGGCCTCTCTCACCAACACGGGTGTGCTGAACAGCAGGCCCCTCTCACCAGCACGGGTGTGCTGAACAGCAGGCCCCTCTCACCAGCACGGGTGTGCTGAACAGTAGGCCCCTCAACACGGGTGTGCTGAACAGCAGGCCTCTCTCACCAGCACGGGTGTGCTGAACAGCAGGCCCCTCAACAGCAGGCCTCTCTCACCAGCACGGCTGTGCTGAACAGCAGGCCCCTCAACAGCAGGCCCCTCTCACCAGCACGGGTGTGCTGAACAGCAGGCCTCTCTCACCAGCACGGGTGTGCTAAACAGCAGGCCCCTCAACAGCAGGCCTCTCTCACCAGCACAGGTGTGCTGAACAGCAGGCCCCTCTCACCAGCACGGGTGTGCTGAACAGCAGGCCTCTCTCACCAACACGGGTGTGATGAACAGCAGGCCCCTCTCACCAGCACGGGTGTGCTGAACAGCAGGCCCCTCAACAGCAGGCCTCTCTCACCAGCACAGGTGTGATGAACAGCAGGCCTCTCTCACCAGCACGGGTGTGCTAAACAGCAGGCCCCTCAACAGCAGGCCTCTCTCACCAGCACAGGTGTGCTGAACAGGAGGCCCCTCTCACCAGCACGGGTGTGCTGAACAGCAGGCCCCTCAACACGGGTGTGCTGAACAGCAGGCCTCTCTCACCAGCACGGGTGTGCTGAACAGCAGGCCCCTCAACAGCAGGCCTCTCTCACCAGCACAGGTGTGATGAACAGCAGGCCTCTCTCACCAGCACGGGTGTGTTGAACAGCAGGCCCCTCTCACCAGCACGGGTGTGATGAACAGCAGGCCTCTCTCACCAGCACGGGTGTGTTGAACAGCAGGCCCTTCTCACCAGCACGGGTGTGATGAACAGCAGGCCTCTCTCACCAACACGGGTGTGCTGAACAGCAGGCCCCTCTCACCAGCACGGGTGTGTTGAACAGCAGGCCTCTCTCACCAGCACGGGTGTAATGAACAGCAGGCCTCTCTCACCAGCACGGGTGTGTTGAACAGCAGGCCCCTCTCAAGACAAAACTGGACAAAACAGGGCGCACCAACCGGCCGAGGGTGTTTTTCTGCTAAGGGGACAGGACAACTTCACCGCATCAAAGGGACGATGGACGGGGCCATGTACCGTCAAATCTTGGGTGAGAACCTCCTTCCCTCAGCCAGGGCATTGAAAATGGGTCGTGGATGGGTATTCCAGCATGACAATGACCCAAAACACACGGCCAAGGCAACAAAGGAGTGGCTCAAGAAGAAGCACATTCAGGTCCTGGAGTGGCCTAGCCAGTCTCCAGACCTTAATCCCATAAAAAAAATCTGTGGAGAGAGCTGAAGGTTCGAGTTACCAAACGTCAGCCTCGAAACCTTAATGACTTGGAGAAGATCTGCAAAGAGGAGTGGGACAAAATCCCTCCTGAGATGTGTGCAAACCTGGTGGCCAACTACAAGAAACGTCTGACCTCTGTGATTGCCAAAAAGGGTTTTGCCACCAAGTACTAAGTCATCTTTTGCAGAGGGGTCAAATACTTATTTCCCTCATTAAAATGCAAATAAATATATAACATTTTTGACATGCGTTTTTCAGGATTTTTTTGTTGTTATTCTGTCTCTCACTGTTCAAATAAACCTACCATTAAAATTATAGACTGATCATTTCTTTGTCAGTGGGCAAACGTACAAAATCAGCAGGGGACCAAATACTTTTATCCCTCACTGTATATATCCGATACATCCTGGATGAAAGCTTCTCAAGGCCTGAGGTGGCATTTCTACTTGTGTTAACATTCATGAGCAGTGTTTATTGTGTTTATAAATGTACATGTAACTCATGCAGTACTTTAAATGTGTGTATTTTTTCTGGTGCCTGCTTGCTCTGGTGACAGCTGATATACAAGGTGGTGCCTGTAAAGGACATCCGGAACCTCTATGTAACGTTTCCTATCCCGGACCTGCAGCCACATTACAAGTCCAACCCTGGCCACTATCTGGGCCACCTCATTGGCCATGAAGGGCCAGGGAGTTTGTTGTCGTTCCTGAAGACCAAAGGTGAAATTCGTACAGTGGACAATCACATTGATAGTTGCATCCACCAATATCTTCACTACCACAATTGTAGTTGCCACCACCATCATCTTCACCACCACCACCAACGACAACAATAAAACGAACACCACTGCCACCATAATCACAACCTAATCACAACCACCACCACCAACAATTGTTCTGCTAATGGAGCTGTTTATTGGGGTTTCAACTGCGTGTCCCCCATCAACGGTATCAATAGCCTCATCATCAACTACAAAATGAATCAAAGCAGATGACAAAATACACGCTGCTGAATGCCTATCTGTACCTGTTGGTTTATCGAACCTGGAATGGCATAACACGCGAGACATATCCATTGCCGTGTCTGTCGGTGGTGTGTTCTGGAGTTGTGAACAAGTAAGTGAGGCAAAAAGGCTGATTTGTAAGCATGTGACACTGCATCATCCAGGCTGGGTGAACATGCTCGTCGGAGGACAAAAGGGTGGCGCTCGCGGGTTCATGTTCTTCATCATCAACGTGGACCTCACAGAGGAAGGACTCGGTGGGTTCCGCATCAGCCCCTGGCTTCACTGAAGCGCCATCCACGAACCACGTAGCACACAATCATAACTCCAAAGAGCCCGTTGTTCAAATGAGGTATTGACGCCAATAATGGGTGTAATTATACATTCGTGCAACACCCACATTTTTTTTCCCAGGCTCATTCGTTTTATTTAATTCCTTTAATTGTATTTTTAATAAATCTTGATGGTTCAGATGGGCTTAGGTGATTACTCATTTAGCAAGGTGCACATAATGAGAACACAGTGGTAGTTATTAAATGCAGCAAGGGATTTCAACTTTCTCCAGACTAAAGATTACTTAATGGCATCCTTTGCTTTTGGCTGTATCAGAATGAACAGTGTTGAAGTCCAGCATTCTCATGATTAAATGCAATGTTAATACTCCTGCTTTTGTTGGGTCTAGTACACAGTAAGCTGTCATGATGACGATGATAATAACCACACCCTGCTGTGCACATAGAGGGCAGGTGGTGGCTGCTAAAGTATATATTTTTTATTCACTTATGCTTTTGAGCATTGGGGAAATGCTCCTACCCATTGGCAGCCCTGCACCAGTGGGGATATTCCCTTGATGGGGCTAGTCTCATCACAGGGCAAACACTGACTTCTTACAAATTGGTACTTATTCAATTGATCCCAGAGGGATTATGTATTCTTCATACGATACATACCACGCACCTCTTTTGGGCGAAAATTGGACAACATTTGGAATAAAAATAAGACTTTTAATTTAGCATGTGAATCATGAGAACCATGTTATGTATTTACTGTCGCACATTTGTTGGTTTGTGTTCCTTCCCTAGAGCACGTTGACGAAATAGTGCTGCACATGTTTCAGTACATCAACATGCTGCGGAAGGAAGGACCAGTCCAGTGGATTTTTGAGGAATGCAAGGTAAACATTTTCACACAGCATGGTTTTTGCCTTTCAATTTGTACCTCATGTGAAGGTATTAACTCCTTTGGCCGCCCACAGCTGTTGCTATCGAACTTAAAATGTATATCCTTGTTTTGGCATTCAAGATGTGGGGGGCCTTGCACGAAATTGTGAATTTGTCAGGAAAGTAATTACCCATAACTCAAGATTTATCCTTATTTTGCAACCCAGAAAGGTGCTCGGTCAATGGCTATAAAGCAAGTAGGCTGCCAACTCATCTGTGGACGTGTTTTAGAGTTGTCTTTATTTGTATGTGGGTTTTCTTGGGACACTGGTTTACTCCAACACGCTAAAATGTTACTCGATAAGGAATTGCACAAACATCGCGAAATTGGCTCACTCCTGCACAGCGCTTATGCTTTTTTTGCTGTCCTAAAACAATTGTTTTAATTGGGAGTGTCGAGTGATGATCGTTGCACAAGCTTCTACACCTGTCTTACTGCGCCATATTCCTGCACCTAAATATTGTATAATTGCTCAATGTGGTAACTGTTACTCATCAACGGTTTTGTAAGAGATTTGAACCTGTTTATTGCTTTCATAAAGTACATAAGCCAAATTGAATTAACAGTCTGAGAACCGTAATTTTAATTACCTTCTCAGTGGCTATGGGCCCCACAGAACATGACTATATTGGCATTAAACGGAACGGGTGGAATTAATTAAACTCTATTTTAATTTAGAAATTTAGCTAGCTTGGGGTCTCCAGAGGACATCCATCAGGTGTGTGCCAGTACAAAGTCAATTGCTTGAAATCTGGTGATTGGTCAGTTAAAAGCATTGGTCTCACTGGCATGAACCATATGATAAAATGGTCCAGCTTGTATTCCTCGGCTAAACCAAGTTCAATTCATCCTGTGCTGTGTTATGGTATGTCGGCATCCTTTTGTAAAATATATAAACGCCCCAAACAGATTTGTGGCCCACTCCACAGTGAACTCCCGGGAGCTTGTAATTGTCACGTTTAATCTGTCTTAATTATTAAAATAAATGGAAACGCCACAGTAATAAATAAATAATGGGCTGACGGAATTATGGAAATTGTAATTGCCAATTACCATTCTGGATAATGTTCCAATTACAATCACTCTTTTATTCTTAATTGCAGTGACAGTTCTGCCGGGTCTGATTGGAATCAAATTTGTAATTTCATTTTGAAACAAAGGGCACGTTGCCCATGTGAGAACTCTTGTCATTCCTAAGGCTTTGGCAACTGTAATTTTGGATCCATTAATTGGCCTTTGTCTAGAATATTGAAGATGCTGCCTGCATTTTGTAACCAATAGGTGTACATGTCCATGCGTTGAGAACATACTTTGATTTGATAGCAAGGAGTGATATATGTACGATATTACTTCAATACACGGTGTTGCAAATTGTACTTAGGTTGCATGACATATCTCCAACATTTCTAGATTTGAAGCTTTCGTGACTGCAAGGATCCATACTCTTTGGTTCTATTCGGTAAAGTCACGTAGGTAAAAAAAAAAATCACGACGTTTCGGCCACAACACAAGCAGCCTTCATCAGGTGAAGGGACCAGCCTGTCTCGAAGACTGCGTTGGAGTAAAACAGAGCCAAGCTCAGTCTGGAGCGAAACAGAGCCAAGCTCAGTCTTGGCTTGGCTCTGTTTCACTCCAGCGCAGTCTTCGAGACAGGCTGATCCCTTCACCTGATGAAGGCCGCTTGTGTTATGGCCGAAACGTCGTGATTTTTGTTGTTTTATTTTTTTTACCTACGTGACTTTACCGAATAGAACCAAAGAGTATATCTCCAACATGTCATATCTCCAATATGTCATGCAGCCTACATGCTTTTAGCCACCAGATTGAACAAGCATCAAAGCTTAACTTATTTATAGTATGGCAGTTAAACAATAAAGCAATTGGTTACTGGTTTCATCGCTATTAGGAATAACAGTGTTTGACAGATGTGCTGTCTTTTATGCCACACATTGTATGTCTTGAGCTGTTAGGGAACCTAACGTAATGTTTAGATAATTTGTCTGAGCTTAAATATTGACTTGAAGCATTCGTGACTGCAGGAATTCATATTCTTTGGGTCTTTTGGTAAAGTCACGTAGATAGGTTCAAAGAAAATAACAGAAAACTACGACGTTTCGATCGCAACACAAGCGATTGTCTTCAGGAAAAGGGGGGTTAGCTTCCAAAGGCAAACTGTTTAAAGGGTTTGAAATGGGCGTAGCCCAAATGTCAGCAGCCAATGTTAATGCAAGTGGTGGGCAGCCAACCCGACAGTGGTTGGTTTCCCACCAATCAAAGGGCTGCCAGGTGAAAGTTTGCAAGTAAATGGGAGATTAGCATGTTAATGGGAGATTAGCATGTTAATGAAAGATTAGCATGTTAATGTGGGATTAGCATGTTAATGGAGATCGCAGAGCCGCAACCGAGGGGTAGTCAGTGCGCGAAGTGGTCGTGTTGGTGTGAAATGAGCTTCAAACACAACTAACATCGGAAGGTGGTAGGATGGGAACATCATAGCCAGTTATGATTTAAACTTCGTTGTAGTCGTATTTTTTGTCGTACTTTTTTGAAACGTCGTAGTTTTTTGTTATTTTCTTTGAACCTATCTACGTGACTTTACCGAAAGACTCAAAGAATATTGTCTGAGCTTGCATACGTTTTCCAGGGATTATTACAGACGGGCGAGTATTTTATTTTGTGCAACATCGTCATGGGACGATGATGATGACTAGGGATGGCGGAGGAGCCTGAGGTGTCGGTAGTGAAGAGGTGTGATGTGATGATGGGACGGAGAGCTGTGAGGCTGCCATGTGTTGCCGCAGGACCTCGGAACGATGGCGTTCAGATTTAAGGACAAAGAGCGGCCCCGCAACTACACATCACACATCACCGGCTTGCTACACGTGAGCCTATTACACCCTCGCCCCGCTGCTCACTGACTTACCATCCTTGCTGTTGTACGCATACATTTCAAGAATACAGTGTTTGCAGTACTGTGTGCTTGGGATCACAGCCATCCACAATTATTTTCCCTTTAGCCTATCTTAGCACCAAGTATTGTGACATCATGCCACTATTCTTGTTTTTATTATGACATCACAACCCGTGTCAAAATCTACACTGTTAAAATGTATTCCCCTGTATTTTGGACATTCAGATGCCTCCAGCAACGCGACACAAATTCTCCCTTTCACGTAGAAGGCAAGCGGAGCATTCATCTTTAAGTGGTGGGTAGTGTGAGACAATGCCCGGGGCTGATATTTTCTCACTTATGCTCAATGGCTTGTGCACACAGTACTACCCTATACGGGAGGTGCTCGCTGCAGAGTACCTGCTGGAGGAGTTCCGGCCGGACCTCATTGAAATGCTGCTGGACAAGTTGCAACCGCACAACAGCAGGTATGGACAGCACGGTCCAGCTCGGGAGCTATCCCATGTGCACCCGGTAATGCTCGGCTTGTTAACACGGGTGCATGCAACATAGTACACTTGGAAGAAAGGGTGCTTTAAATGTTACCAACTCACACATCGCAGAAAATGAAAACTGAAAAACAGAGAACCATGATTCCTGCCAGGGGGCATACTATTGAATACGGTGCTTATCCAATGTAAAGTAAACATTTTATACAATACATAAAAGGGTCACAGATAAGCGAAGTCCTCCTCTACCTTGTTTGTGATAACCGGCAATGCATTTCTGGAATCAAAATATGTGACTCAGGTGTTGGGTTTGCTGTTATGAATAATTGTGTTAATAGCATTTCTGTGATGGCATTGCTGGTATTTGGAACCTGTAATTGAGAGTTTTAGATAGAATACCTCAAGAGTCAAACCGTGTGCATGCACAACGGCTGGGTGAGTAGCCGAGGAGTATTTTGCGTGCATGTGCTCATGTCTAGTGGGGAGCGGTAGTGCAACGGTTCGCACACTGCGCTACGAACCTAGCAACCCGAGTTCGATTCCCGCTCACGACCAACGCCATCTGAATCGGTCCTGGGCCTCCCCTAGGTTGACTCGGCCTCAAATGAGTACCTGGCCACCCACTCTCTCGTGTGCTGTGTCATCCTTCATAGGTGCTACTCGCTAACAGCACTTGCCAAAACGGTCTGTTAAGGCTATATGGGGATCTTTGTATGTGCGTGCATTTTTCCAAATTCTTGCATCCACATTTGCAGGATTGCTGTCGTAGCAAAGGCGTTTGAAGGGCACACTGACCAGGTGGAGCGGTGGTATGAGACCCAGTACAAGCAGGAGAGCGTCTCGGAAGAAACCTTTACGGTAGGGAACGGGTCATGGCAGAGATTCCCGATATCCTTGTGACATCAATGTTTTTGCTTTGCTGAATTATCACTTACAAGCATTGTGTCCATTATCCATAGTGTGTATATCTTTGCATGTGTGTACCTTGTAACCCTGTACCTCTAAAAAAGTTTAGAAATTAAGCAAGTATGTAATGTGCTCGTATGTTGATCGTGGTGACATTGCTGAGTGGTAGTGCATTTTCTGCTAGTTTCAAAAGTGTGTGGTTTGAACCCAGCGACTGCCCTGATTACCACTGCAGGTATATTAACCATAACATATGCAGTTTTGTTAAACCCATAACACATGCGCCATCTGTTTTGCAGTGCATGTTAAGAAGAGTAGGCCAAATTTGTCAAATTCGAAAATTATTCACAAATTACAGTTGGGTAAAGCCACATAGCAACATCGCCCCTACTTTGAAACTACTGCAGATTATAATTGTCTTTGAAACTACTGCAGATAATAATTGTGAGACATAACACTTTCGTGAACGCATTACGCTATAAGAATGAAGCACATACCAAATGTGCTCATTAATTAATTTGCTTGGTGATCGAATAAATGATACTGTTTGTTGATAAATGTCTACTTAAACATAAAAGCTACACTTGTTTATCACCTGTTGAAATGCATCTGTGTGTGGCACATACAGAAGTGGCAGAATGCTGGTCTCAATGAGCACTTCACTCTTCCCATGAAGAACGAATTCATCCCGACCATCTTCGACATCCTGCCGCTGAAGGAAGAGAACACCCACCCCTACCCGCAGCTCATTAAGGTGCCTGCCATGGGCTGCACGTATAAGCAGATCCCAAAGCCCGACTGAGGAGAGTAATGGTTATGTGGCAGGCCGTGATCAAAGAGCGGTGCTGTTAAACCCAGTGACCTGATTTAAATGTAATCTTTTGGCTTTCGTCAAATTCCCCCACCTGGCTAATGCTTGAAATAGAATATTTGTGCTCTTAGAACACAATATCCCGGGTTAGTTTTATCAAGCATGAACAGAGGGTTTGAAAAAATTAATTGAACAGTTTCATTCACATGCAGTGGCTCATTGTACATTCAGTTTTTCAGCAGTTGTATCAGTGGGCTGGTGCAGCCTAAACAAAAAAGGTGCATTCAAAGTTGAAGGCAAATAGTTGCCTAATTAAAATTAGCATGGAGTGGTGTTCATCTCTGTTTTATGGCTCCGAGATAGTCGTGACATTTGCCATTTCTATGGCAGGGCCAAAACAGACACATTTTAGAAAAAAAATTCAGAGACTAGTCGGTGGTAATTAATCCACAATTATGCTTTCATGCACGGATGGATCGTATGAAAGAGAACGGACACAAGTGACTCTAATGCACCATTTCCTTAACTCTAAGCTTTTACAGGTTTTTTTTTCAGAGTCCAGAATGCGTGATGTGTGTTGATGGTTGTGGGTGAATGTCAGTGGTTGGATTAGAAATGAATAGCGTCTTCATTGGTTTAATTTGTGCGCTTGTTGTTTCTGAAAAAAAATTAAAACACTTTTGTGTGTGTTCTCACGTGCACTTGCGTATGGACACAAAAATCACACCTATGCTAGTTTGTTAATGCACGTGCATTTGTGTATTGTGGTTGTCTCTCAGAAAACTGCTCATGCGTGTGTTAGCATAAATGCGTGTTTAAAAATGCAAGAGGAATTGGTCAATCAAAGGGTACATTTTGTTATGCTTGTGCATGTGTTAGTATATGAAGAGATATGTATATATTTGACTCTCAAACAAAATGAAATGTGTGTGGGTTTAAAAGTTTAGGTTTCATTGCAAAAATTAAAACTTAAGCTAGCATGCTTGGGTTGTGTGTGTCTCCAGGATTCTGCCATGAGCAAGCTGTGGTTCAAACAGGACGACACCTTTCACTTGCCCAAGGCCTGCCTCAACTTTGAGTTCTTTAGGTATTTTGTTTTATTTAAGTTTGCCTATTGAACATGTCTTGACATTTCCAAACAACATGGTAGCTTTGTCATTTAACATCCGCACGTTTGTTGTACCGCATGGGTTCATGTGAGTCACAGTCTGTGCACGGGCATCAGCTTCTGGTCATAATCATCATCCATCGTATATCCACTGCTGGATGAAAGTCTCCCACTTCCGATGGTCCCACGAGTTAGTTTCATCACTCCATCTTCACGGCGATCGTGTTGCGTGGTGCGATTCCCACCCCAGGTTGCCATTCTGCACTTGTGGACTTGGGCAGGATACATTGCTTGTCCATTGGCCATCAACCCTCCTGGCAATATGTCCTGCCTGAGTCCACTGGGTTCTCCTCACAGGCAGTATGATGTCTCTCATTTACATTTGTTCTAGGGTCCATGAATTCCTTTTTTTTTGTCTCAGTGTAATTCTCAGCATGCTGATCTCCATGATTATTTGGGTACTTTTCAGCTTCTGTTCCGTTGCCTTTGTCAGTGTCCATGTTTTTGATTCGTAACAGGTTAAGTTAACTGGTCTGAGACATTAATGAAGGGACTGCATTTTCAGTAGCTATTAAACCCCGCTACAAAACCATACCATTGTAGTCATGAACACTCCATAGCTGCATAAAAAAATAGATTTATTAACCATTTTTTCTAAGAAAAGCCCTGCTTATATATTTTTCATACGAGAGTGTCAGTGACCAAGGTGTTGCTGTTTAATTGTTTTTTGCTAGTACATAAAATGTGTATATATAAATGTAGATCTATATTTTAAAGTAACCCTGGGATCTCACGGCCGAGTCTCCCTCACTCGCCCTGTCCCCCACTCCACGTAGTCCCTTCGCGTACGTGGACCCGCTGCACTGCGACATGGCCTACCTGTACGTGGAGCTACTCAAAGACTCGCTCAACGAGTACGCCTATGCGGCCGATCTCGCGGGCCTCAGCTACACCCTGCAGAATACCGTCTACGGCATCCACGTGAGGGGTTCCGGGGAGGAGTGTTGGGAAGCAGGGAGCATTGGGCCAAGGTGGGAGGGGAGGTGTGCAATGATCGCACACTGAGCTGTGTTGGAGTAGGGGCTAAAGGGCACAGCACCTGGCCAATGCAAGGGGGTTGTGATTGCTGTATTGAAAATTAATAGGAGACTGGGGGATGAGGGGTTGATACATCTGGTATGAGGGGGGTGGGGGGGGGGGATGTGATTTGTGTACTGACTGGGGAAAGTTGGCGAGTTTTGGGATCTTGGATAAAGCTGAGTGTGGTGGTTTGTAATCGCTGTGCTCAGCTGTGGAGGGGAGGGGGTGAGAGTGGAGTGTCTGGCTGAGGCAGAAGAGGGGTTTTGTTGTTGGGGAACTGTGCAAGTTATATTAATAAACGCTGGCAGTTGGCATCCTATCACCAACTATAACAAATCGCCCCCTTCGAGATTCAATGAATTGTCATAATTCAGGATCTCAATTTAATTCTAGAATTGATTATTTGGTGAAAAATTGCGCTAGATTGTGACATTCCAGTTGCTGCAGAGGTCACGTGAACTAATTTCATATGGCGTACAGAAATAATAAATAATCGGTTCTTACGCAACAAAGATTCAATACAGTGAGGGAAAAAAGTATTTGATCCCCTGCTGATTTTGTACGTTTGCCCACTGACAAAGAAATGATCAGTTTTTAATTTAATGGTAGGTTTATTTGAACAGTGAGAGACAGAATAACAATAACAAAATCCAGAAAAACACATGTCAAAAATGTTATAAATTGATTTGCATTTTAATGAGGGAAATAAGTATTTGACCCTTCTGCAAAACATGACTTCGTACTTGGTGGCAAAACCCTTGTTGGCAATCACAGAGGTCAGACGTTTCTTGTAGTTGGCCACCAGGTTTGCACACATCTCAAGAGGGATTTTGTCCCACTCCTTTTTGCAGATCTTCTCCAAGTCATTAAGGTTTCGAGGCTGACGTTTGGTAACTCGAACCTTCAGCTCCCTCCACAGATTTTCTATGGGATTAAGGTCTGGAGACTGGCTAGGCCACTCCAGGACCTTAATTTGCTTCTTCTTGAGCCACTCCTTTGTTGCCTTGGCCGTGTGTTTTGGGTCATTGTCATGCTGGAATACCCATCCACGACCCATTTTCAATGCCCTGGCTGAGGGAAGGAGGTTCTCACCCAAGATTTGACGGTACATGGCCCCGTCCATCGTCCCTTTGATGCGGTGAATTTGTCCTGTCCCCTTAGCAGAAAAACACTCCCAAAGCATAATGTTTCCACCTCCATGTTTGACGGTGGGGATGGTGTTCTTGGGGTCATAGGCAGCATTCCTCCTCCTCCAAACACGGCGAGTTGAGTTGATGGCAAAGAGCTCCATTTTGGTCTCATCTGACCACAACACTTTCACCCAGTTGTCCTCTGAATCATTCAGATGTTCATTGGCATACTTCAGACGGGCATGTATATGTGCTTTCTTGAGCAGGGGGACCTTGCGGGCGCTGCAGGATTTCAGTCCTTCACGGCGTAGAGTGTTACCAATTGTTTTCTTGGTGACTATGGTCCCAGCTGCCTTGAGATCATTGACAAGATCCTCCTGTGTAGTTCTGGGCTGATTCCTCACCGTTCTCATGATCATTGCAACTCCACGAGGTGAGATCTTGCATGGAGCCCCAGGCCGAGGGAGATTGACATTTCTTTTGTGTTTCTTCCATTTGCGAATAATCGCACTAACTGTTGTCACCTTATCACCAAGCTGCTTGGCAATGGTCTTGTAGCCCATTGCAGCCTTGTGTAGGTCTACAATCTTGTCCCTGACATCCTTGGAGAGCTCTTTGGTCTTGGCCATGGTGGAGAGTTTGGAACCTGATTGATTGATTGCTTCTGTGGACAGGTGTCTTTTATACAGGTAACAATCTGAGATTAGGAGCACTCCCTTTAAGAGTGTGCTCCTAATCTCATCTCGTTACCTGTATAAAAGACACCTGGGAGCCAGAAATCTTTCTGATTGAGAGGGGGTCAAATACTTATTTCCCTCATTAAAATGTAAATCAATTTATAACATTTTTGACATGCGTTTTTCTGGATTTTGTTGTTGTCATTCTGTCTCTCACTGTTCAAATAAACCTACCATTAAAATTATAGACTGATATTTTATTTGTCAGCGGGCAAACGTACAAAATCAGCAGGGGATCAAATACTTTTTTTCCCTCACTGTACGTGTATCGTGACTAAGAATTTTTTTGATTTGCCTCTTGGATGTATCGCTACACGTTTAGTAGCCAAACCAGCCCTGAATCCCCCTTAGATTGGGTGATCCCAAATTGATTACCTGGTGTACTGGCAAAATGTTCAGTATAAGCACTGCACAGACAAAGGAGGCTGTGTATGGTGCTAACCACACCGCCGCTTCATGTGCGGTGTCTGTCGTGATAAGCGCTCGCACGTGACGTATGGTCCTTGTTTTGTGCGCGTGGCTACGTGCGTGGCAGTTGTCAATCAAAGGTTACCAAGACAAGCAGCCTCTGCTGCTCAGGAAGATTATCGAGAAGATGGCAACATTTGAAATTGATGAGATGCGATTTGAAATCATCAAGGAAGCGGTAAGTGTACGTGAAAGCGACACTGCAGTTCATAACTGTGTGCAGTGTCCCAGCTAAGAACAATGCTCTCCAAAAAAAACGTTTATGCGAAATTATGTAAAGAGCATTACGCCTTGGGGTGTAAATACAGGTAGTGCCCGAGTTACGATATTTCGATCTTAAGATGGCGATAGCAATACGACAAAATTGCCATCAACAACCTAACACCGTTCAAGTATGCAGACAACAGACAGAATCTTGGTGAGTCCAGTAGAATATGATATGTTACGATAGTTCAATGCATGTATGATACGTAGCTTTAGCAATTTCATTTTAGGGTTACCACGATACAATACGTTTAATGCATGTTAAAAGTTTTTATAGCAGATAGGATTGTTTCCTGAAAAAACTTTCTATGAAATTGCAGTTCATATAGGTAGGCTAAGAATTTACCTTGTTTTTTACTTTACATTTTACTGTGCAATACAGTATTATAATTAATAAATGCATACAGTATATAGTTTATACAGTACGGTACTGTAAATTGCTCTGTTTTGCTAAATTATCACCATTCTCTAAGACTCCTGGGTAGGCTAGGCCATTTCGACTTACGATATTTTTGGCTTACAATGGGGTCGTTGTAGTGCATCTCCATCGTAAGTAGAGGACTACCCTGTAGTGATGATTTTTGGTATAGGCGACTGGAAGTCTTCCACTGAAAAATATTTCCTTTAATTGCCTTTTCATAACCTGGCTGCGTCTGCAGTGACATAGCCAAGGTATATTCATGTTTTATTCATCGAATGCGTTTTTCAAAGACAACGAGAATTACGATACAAAAGGGCGATAACCAGGATTGAGGTCACGCTAACTTCTTATATTGCAGCTGGGATTAACAGCCTTAAGACTTTCAACAGATGTCACTAATTGGGGCCAAGTATTCCTGTAATTAACGAGGGAGTTGGGATTGAACTCTCATTCAATCTCAAAGTCTCAGAGGCTGATGAGATCCTGGGTGATATGCACCTGTCTACATCTGTTGTGTCTGTCTCTATAACGTTCTTACAACATCAGTGTTTTATATATATGGCTGGAATGGAAATTCAGATTGTATTCTGGGGAAACAAACTTGACCATTCTTCCAGTTTTGAACACATAATGAGCAAGGAGAAAATAGGATGTGTTTAATGAGCCATTATCATCTCGGAGTTGCTCAAGTGTGAGCCTGGCAGGTGTGAATTATGTAATTATGGTGGGGAGAGGTGGTACATTGTTTAGTGGCTTGTGTCACGATCCTAGCAGCCTCAGTTTTGTTTCTGGGCGTGCACAGCGTTGATAGTGAGTGGAAGCTGAAAGTGTCTTGGGCACCTCCGAGGGGACTCAGCATTAAATTAATAACCAGCACAGTCTTGTGTACTGTACGTTAGCGCTTTGGAGACATCACTCCCTTATCTGACCACACTACCTCTCTGTGTGCGTCATGTCGACCCTAATAAGTACATGCCAACAGCACTTGCCCTGTTCGTTTTTCGGGCTAAATGGGGGATCTTTTTCGCCTGGTAGCTATCCAGTGGCCCAGAAATGCTGATTCACGGTAAAGTTGCTATCATTATCTTCATCACCTTTTTCACGTTTGCTCTCTAGTACCTGCGGTCTCTGAGCAACTTCCGCGCCGAGCAGCCACACCAGCACGCCATGTACTACCTGCGTCTTCTCATGACAGAACTGGCCTGGACTAAGGAGGAGCTTCGCGATGCACTTGAAGGTGGGGCCACCACTCAGTGCCACGCCACGCATCACCACACCATGCCACGCGACACCGCACCCTGCCACGCAACACCACACCACGCATCACAACACCATGCCACGCGACACCGCACCACGAGACACGGCACCACCACACCCTGCCACGCGACACCACACCACGCATCACAACACCATGCCACGCGACACTGCACCACGAGACACGGCACCACCACACCCTGCCACGCGACACCGCACCACGAGACACGGCACCACCACACCCTGCCACGTGACATCACACCATGCCACGCGACACCTCGCCACCCCACACCATGCGACACCCACACCACACTATGCCGCGCCACGACACACCACACCATGACACAACACTCGAAGCCACTCCAAGCCCATCCGTGCCCCAACATACTACACCACATCACCTCCATGCAATGCACATAGCTACGCACAGAACCAGTTAATATTTCTATAAACTGTAACTGGTATATGCTTGCAATATTGAGGTGTAATATTCATAGTTTAAGAGAGTCAATGGGACTTGTCTGAGACGCACACATATGCTGCCATTGTTTAATAGACTCATGGCAAGCTCTTCATGGCAGTTATCGCAATGTGTTATTCTGACACAGTAAGCAAATCAACTTGGAATGTTTGCACTGTCTTGTTCGGCTTCAGTTCAGTCATACACCGTAGTGGTTGCACTCTGAAGCGACCGAATAAATTATCTGCGGCTGTCAACCACTTTCGAAGAATCCGCAAGGTTGAGTGACTCTGCAGGAAGTGAGTGACTAGTCCAACCATACGAACGTGACATTTCCATCACTGGCTCGGGGCTTTCAATGGGGATGAGCACTGCTCTGTGCTAACTAGAGCAAGGAGAATGACCTGCACAGCGTTGGGAAGGCCCTAATCCAACAGTGGCTTTACAAAAGAACTGCATATTTACAGCCACAGTGCGTTCGCATGTGTGTGCGTGTAGGACCGCCCTATGCACAGGAGCCAATGGTGTTATGCGCGACTGGCCGCTCTCGTTTCAGACGTCACCGTATCCTGCCTACAGGCATTCGTGCCGCAGCTGCTGTCCAGGTTGCACATGGAGTGCCTCTTTCATGGGAACGTGGATAAGGAGGTGCTGTACAGACCCCACCCCTAAAGCTGCCACAGCTCGCTTCGACTGCAAGACATTTGCAGTCCCTTTAACATGTTTTGCCGCCCCAGATTTTTACCCCATTGAGGTGTCACGCAAGAGCAGTGCAAACGCTCGTGGCAGAGAATGGCCCTGGAAGGAAATACCACAGAGAAATCTCTGGATGCCTTGAAGTGACATCTGGTCCACACATTGAGACAGCATTTTTCCACCCAGCCTGTCACATGACAGTCAAATCAGAATTTTTTCAGAGCTGGAATTTGAGCAGATTAAGTACAAAACCAAATTTAATGTGATGGGATTTCTTTGTGCAGTCATTGGCGGCCAGGCACACGCCCCTCCCGCATGACCTTTCACTTCAGAATCGATTTGATTTGCTTTAGAATCAATTCCGTTCCGATGACATAAATATACATAAATCGGAATAAAAACTGTACGTGTACGTCATCATAATGGGAAAGGGTTAACATTGGCGTTGCTTGTCGACAGCAAACCAGCAGCGTATGACATGGGACAGCGAGAGGTTGCAGTGCTGCTACACTGAGCACTGCTGCTAGTGCGGAGGTTGTGGCGGGTGAAGGTGATGGCGCTCGCCCACGGTTTGTGCGCAGGGTGCCCTGGAGACGATGGCCATGGTGGAGGACACGCTGGTACGGTTGGCTCACAGCAAGCCACTGCTACCCAGCCAGCTCACACGCCACCGTGAGGTGCAGCTGCCCGACGGTACGATGCTTTGGTGAAAAGGATGGCTGCCTGGCAGCCGAATCGAACGAATGAGTCAAATTAAATGTGACATTGCATTCTTATTATTGTATCTTTAGTCTTCTCAGGGTTTGAATCTGTAGTGTTGTGTGCTGATGATTCTTCTTTACTATTTTGTGTCTCCCTTGCCTCACTTTGTCCCACTGTCGTTTGTGTTTCTCTCACTATCCCTGATCTTACAAAGAGTTTAACATTCTGTCAGGCCAAAGGAGGAGTTATTGAGGGAGATTTTTGTCCTTTTATTTATGCAGCGATTACAAACTGCACTTCGAACTCGGCAACCTGAATTTCGGCCCCGGCTAACATCAGTTGCGAGTGATATCTAAACCTGTCCTAAGATGTACCGAGGTCAACTTGGCCTTAAATGGCTATCTGGCGCGGTGCGTTAACATCATTGACATCAGCACTGCGGAGACCATGACAGCCGTGCATTGTTCCCACCACACCAGCCCATCGTGCACTGTACCGATCGTAATAAGTGCCCATGAACAGATTCACGGCTCGACAATCTACAAAAGGTTACACGCGGATCCCGTTTTTTTGTGCGCGTGCGCACACTTCAGGCCGTTGGTTCGTGTACCAGAGGCGTAACGAGGTGCACAACAACTGCGGGATCGAGATCTACTACCAGACGGACCTGCAGACAACGCACGACAACATGCTGCTTGAGCTCTTCTGCCAGATCGTGTCGGAGCCCTGCTTCAACACCCTGCGCACCAAGGAGCAGCTGGGTGGGTGCACGTACACATGCACACAAACACACGGATAGACTTGCACCAACAACAACAATCGCCTTTCACCACACAGTGGCGGTGACATCACCACGGCGCTCGTGCCAGGCGAGGTGCACTTTCAGGCCACGTGCAGTGTCAAAGGCTCGCCTGGCAGGAAGTCACAGAACAGACTCAAGTGTTACGAGTTGATATACGTAAAACACACGCATGCACACACGCACGTGAACTTGCACACATGCACGCATGAGTACACACACATTCATAAGCACATGCGAATATACACCCAAATATGTTTCTCTATGAAATTTACAACCATGCCATTCACAACTCTCACGAACCACAACACTAATTCATGCCTTCCTTAAGCCACACACCTCTTGGGCACTTTATAAAAAACTGTTTTGCAGACCAACTCAGGATGCCTATGGCCTCTGTCGAATCCAGACTCTAGTCGAAAGCTCCTGGCTTAGGCGACTAGTTACCATTTGCACCGGCCAAGCATTAGCTGCGTACTGAGCGTGCGCCCGAGCTAAATGAGCACGAGTGCACGTGGCGCCTCACAACTGAACGGACCACTTTTACCTACCGTGATGCGTTGTTACTTTGCGGCCAACGGCAATAACGCGGCGTGGGTTTCGTGTGTCCGTGGGCGCCGGCGGCGCCAGGCTACATCGTGTTCAGCGGGCCGCGGCGGTCGAGCGGCGTGCAGGGCCTACGCTTCATCATCCAGTCGGAGAAGCAGCCGCACTACCTGGAGAGTCGCGTGGAGGCGTTCCTGCACGCCATGGGGCGGCACGTGGCCGACATGACGCCCGACGCTTTCGCCAAGCACGCGAGCGCCCTCGCCGTGCGCCGCCTCGACAAGCCCAAGAAGCTGAGCACCGAGTGTGGCAAGCACTGGGGAGAGATCATCTCGCAGCAGTACAACTTCGACCGAGGTCCGTTCACGCCGGGTCTCGGGAATAGGGCTGGCGGGGGTTTCTCCCTGTGTTGTGTCGTTCGTTTGTACGCCCCGTGGTGTTTTGGTTTCGTTTGTTCCGTTCTGATCAGACGATGCGAATTCGAGCAGCGATCGATGTCCCTACAGAGAGGTGTGTGCACTCGGCACACTGTTGTCGTTGTGTTATGACACGCGGCACTTGTCAAGGTAAAGGAATTACTCTTCCTCAGATTGGCGGCTTCGATTGATTTGATGGCCCACAGATCTGGAGAATAGATTGCCGTGGAAAGAGCCAAATGAGATTTGTGAGCGTTAAAGCGAACCGCCGAGCAGTTATGCATTTCTGCTGCTTCCAGCGTATTGTTGTGAGTTTTTGAATATTTCTTCAATAAAAGTACAGATACCAAAAGGCAGGTATAGGATAATAATTATGAGCAACGCATATGGATATTAGAGCTTAGCTCCCGTAGACAATTCGAGCATGGGGTGAACAATCGAAGCGTACGGTGACACCCCTAGAAAATTAGCGTGCAAGGTGATGCCAACACACCCGGCATTTAATCATTCACCCCCCTTGCAATTCAAGCAATTGTTAGAATTTAGAATCACGATTTGGATTCAAGATTAAAAAAATGTGTTTGTCCATTTGCATTGCATAGTCTCGATGAGACTGCAAGATTCGTTACAAGTTATATACTACTTGTACAAATTTAACATCGTTTTTGCATGCGTAATTCTGATGTGTGCATCATTGATGTTAATCTTTGCATTGATGCCCATAGTATATGACAGATCTTACGCTGGACTTTGCTAACACCCGTGCAGAATCGTGATTATTCTGAGTGCATTGCAAAGTAAATGCCAAGCGTTATTTTTTGACAGCTGCTGTGAATTCCGAATTATCGTCTGTGCTGCCTTATTGCAGTGATTTGAACATCGAATTAAATTTGGGGTGTTTTTATCCCATGAATCAGTATTCTCTCTGAACATGTCTATCACTTGACAAGCACTTTGTTGGGCTTGACATCTGATTTGTTAGTGAGCTGGGTTTTAAATACAGCGTGAGCCCATGAGTTACTGTCAGCCACTGTGCTTGCATTTAATGTCCCCTGATTGAATTGCAGAAAAAAGCTTCTGACACTTCATTCTTAAGAACTTACTTTTTTTATGCGTTAATAACTTTAAATACAAGAGATGAAAGTATTGCATCCTTCCTCCAATAGATTCAACTTGGAATTCATGAATACAGCCTTTAAATATTTCAATTGCTGTACCTTGTTTAATATGCACAACGAATGTATGCTGTGGATTTATTTCTTTTCAGACAACATTGAAGTAGCTCATTTGAAGACACTGACCAAGGATGACGTCTTTAAGTTCTACCAGGTGCGTCTGTCCATTCTGAGCATCAGAGGAGTCCTTGAAACGAGCACCGATTCACAAGATCAATAATAGCCAACCCAATGGTCCCAAATAAATGTTAAAAAGTAAAATATAAAAAGGAAACAAATGTTAATAGCTGAATATTCACAAACTTTGCCACTTTCGGTCAGCCAAAAGTATCCATGGCCCCTTGTGCGTGAAACCGGAGCCTTTTTTACATGATAAGAAAATAAACCGATTTAAGCTGCTCGTGTAAAACCAAATGAAAATTATGTATTTCTTAGCACAAGGTCTGATGTTTTTAGTCTTAATTGCTTCCGCTGAGCCAGTTTGTACACATTCGCGTAAAATGGATTGTTGATAATATGCCACCAGTCCTACTTCCACAGAACTGCCCATCTTTGGCTCTATTTTTTTGTGTCTGTACGTACGTGCGTTCTTGCACGCATGTGGGAACAGCTCTGTGGATCCTGTACTCTATGATCTGTAACCCTGAGTAAGATTTCTGTCTCCCCCAGTGAGAAAAGGCGGCCAGGCGTATTGGCTACAACCACCCCCTCATGTGTCATTACATTCTAAATAGATGTTCACTAATAGATACTAATTAACAACACTTGCCCCTACAATTAAGCTCAAAGGGAAATTCTATTTGAATGTGTGAGTGCACATGCTGATGTATGTGCTTGCATTCTTGTGTGCATGTTTGCTTTTGTATTCATGTGCGTTTATGCCTGTACTTGTGCCTCAAATATTGGAAGAAGTCACCCATCTGTGAGTGGCTGGCTGAGGTGCCATCTGTTGAGGAAGTACTGAAGGCGATCCGGAGTCTGAGACCAGGAAAGGCAGCGGGCAGAGATGATCTCCCAAGCGAAATGCTGAGGGAGGGTGGCGTTTGTGCACAGACTGCCCTATATGACATCATAACAACAGTCTGGACCACTGGACGGGTTCCGCAGGATTGGAAGGGGGACCGCACAGACTGTAACAACTACAGGGGCATCTCACTCCTCAGTGTGCCGGGAAAGGTCCTGGCAAGGATTATTCAACATCGCCTTGCCAGGCACGCTGAGGAGAGGCTTGCGGAGCCCCAATGCGGTTTCAGGAAAGGGCGGTCCTGCACAGATGCCATATTTTCTGTCCGTCTGCTACAGCAGAGGTGTCGGGAATTCCAACAAGACCTACATCTCTGCTTTATTGACCTGGTCAAGGCCTATGATACCATCAGTAGGCCTGGGCTCTGGGTTGTTCTTCGTGCTTTGGAGTACCTGACCCTCTGCTCACGATCATTAAGGACCTTCATGATGGTGAGCAGGCCCGGGTAAAACTACGTGGCCGGGAGTCAGAGCCATTCCCTGTACACCTTGGGGTGCGACAGGCATGTCCTCTGGCTCCCACATTTAACATCTATTTTGACCACGTAGTTCGTGAAGCCTTCAATAGCTGTACCAGGGGAATCTCCATATGGTACAGATATAATGGGAGGCTGATCGATGCCCGGGTGCGGTCAAGGGATGGCTTCCTATTGCTCAACCACATTATGTATGCTGATTTGGTAATAGCTGCTCATTCAGAGGAGGAGTTGGAGCTGCTGCTGCTGAGACTGAAGCGTGCCACTTAGAGGTGGGGCCTTACCATCAGCCCCACCAAAACTAAGCACCTGCCTGGGTATTTTGTACCATCGGACACTCCACCCCCACAACTCCCAATCGGTGATGGGGCAGTTGTGGAGAGAGTGGAGAGTTTCCCATACCTGGGCAGTGTGCTTATGACCGGCTCCAGTTTAACAGCAGAGGTCTCCGAATCGCCGGTTAGAAACATTTAGGCTGGCCTGCCTACGATCCATCCTGGGTTTAACGAGACTGGATTGTGTGAGGAGCTCACAAATCCTTGAAAGATCTGGGCAAGGTCCCATCGGTGAGCTCCTCCGACGGGCAAGGCTGCGATGGCTGGGTCATGTAGCCCGCATGCCCAGCCACCGCATGCCGAAACAGCTTTTGTTCGGCCGGATTGAGGGGGCTAAACGGACGCGGCATGGGCTAGAGAAGAGATGGAGTGATGTCGTACAGGAGGACGTGGAGCTGAGTGGACTTGCCGATGACTGGTACCAGCGGTGTCAAGATCGGCCTCTGTGGAGGAGGCTCGTGAAGGACGGTACTGGGCAGTTGGAGGTAGTCGCCCTCCAACAACAACGGAGGGCGGAGGAGCGACGCTCACAACAACGAGCGGAGCGCCGGGTGGCTGAAGCACAGCGGGTTGGCACAGTAGGGGGCACAGGTGGTGCATCAGCCAGTCATCTCAGTCATCTTAGTCAGTCGACCCGTGGCACCTGGGTCTGCCCCGTGACCTGCCAGCGGGCGTTCGACACTTCACGTGGCCACAGGGTGCACATAGCCTGGCACAAGCGTCGTGGTGACGTCACCGCCACTTAGTGGTGAATGGCGGTTGTTGTTGTTGTTGTAGTACTTGTGGATGTGTATATATCTGCGTGTGGGGAGCGGTAGTGTTTATTGGTTAGCGCCACCGCGTAACGATTCTGACGATCCGAGTTCGATTCCCACTCCCAGCCAACATCGGTGACGAATATCTGAATCTGTTTTGGGAAGAGAAAGGCGGCTGGCCGTAGTATTGGCCACCCACTCAGTGTGCTGTGCCAGCCTTCATAGGTGCTCGTTAATAGCACTTGCCCCAACAGTTGATTAAAGGCTATACGGGGACCTTTGTGTATATCTGTGTGCTTGTTCGTGCTACAGGAGCTCCTGTCGGTTGACGCAGCTCGACGCCACAAGATCTCTGTCCACGTGCTGTCACGCGAGATGGAATCCTGTAAGCAGCCTCTTTTAGCACCCAATCATTCACTCGCCCGGTTTTGTGGATGGTTTCGTCCATTCCGATTGTGCTTGAATTGGAATGGTAAATGTAATAACTTTTCGGCACGAGTTAATTTACTCATCCCATTTTCAATTCAAGTCTTCCACCCACACATCCATTAAAAATGTCACGACTATATTTTACAACGAATCAAAGAATTAGTGTGCTATTTAAGCAACTTAAAATAGTCCAGTTGATTTACATTTTTGGATTTAATGCACTTGATTTCAAGTTCTCAATGCAATAATAGGCTGAGTCTCCCAACCCTTTGAACTACCAACTTTCGAGTGAGTCAAGAGGAACTACAGCGCCATCCAGATGACCTTTAAATATTTAGTGTGACAATTATAAAACGCTCCTGCATAAGGTCACAGAATTAATACTGACAGTTGTCTGAAATAGAATCAAGATTATTGCTCTATAATTACGTACGTATGTAGAATTTCTTCCGCACCTTATGTAGCCAACCGTAGTAATCAGAGGTATAGTTCGTGTGATTTTGCAGTTGTGTGTAGCAAGTGTGGGGGGTGGTGGCTGAGGGTGTCGTGTCCCGTGCTCTGGATGCTCCAGGTCCTGTCGTCGGAGAGTTCCCGTGCCAGAATGATGTGAGCCTCACACCCGCACCACCTTTGCCCCAGGTAACAGGATGCCCGACCGCTGTCTCTTCTATCATTCGTATCTTCTGCAAAGTTTATTCGCCACACTCGCTCGAGCGCTCCTCCCAACACTGGTATTATTTTATGGTGCAGTTTATTTCAAGTTAAATTATCTTCCTGCTCAAGTAAGACCCAGTCTTTCTATATTAATGAGTGGTAGATGGTGTTCATCTCCCATTTGCAGTCAGCCACATTTGCAATGTTGAATTCCCATGGCATGACATGGTGTGCATGTTAAGATAACATGTCCCACTTGTGCCTATGGCAAGCAACTGAACCTGTATCTATATGCCATCACACACTTAGTTGCATGCTTGCAGACTTTCACATTTTGAAGTCAACTCCGAAGTTGTGATCTCACTCATCACATGAGCAATTGGCTTGCACTTACCTGTGTTTATGGCCGAGCCAGCAGTGGAAAAATCGGCATTGCCATGGTAGAGGTCGGCGGTGACCCCCTCGAGACAACCAATGTTGGAGTCTCACAAACTGGCAAATGACGAGTGACGGGCCGCTGTGCCTCAATGCTCTAAGCGATGCACTCTGTGTTCGTCAGCCTACAGTGATCGAGGACACCAACGACTTCAAGCGAGGCCTCCCCCTCTTCCCACTCGTAAAGCCGCTCTACGGCAAGATCACGGCCAAGCTGTGAGGGGCGCAGCAGAGCCTGCCACTGCATGTGGCACCCATGCAGGGCTCGTCAGATGGTGCTCCCACCTGGAAAGTCTGGTGGCCGTTTCAGCCCCACGTCTGAAAGGTTTGGTGCAGGGGTTTTGACTGGTGATACTTTGAAATCGGGGTGGGATAAGCAAGCATTTAAAGGCAACACGTTCCAGGGTCACAAACATGGTTTTTCATAGGATGTCAATAACAGTTATATTGGATATCACCACAAGCAGTTCCAGAAAAACGAAATACTAAACTGCCCCCACCCATTTAGAAACATTTACTCCATGGTCAAATAAGACAATTGTTTCCCATCAGCTTAATGGTAAAATGGGCAACTAGGAATTGTATTGATGGTCTGCTTATGATGGCAGCATGAATTAGCATGAAATAGTAAATGGCTAGAATGCCCCTTGGAATAGAAAGGCCCTCTACCCGTTGTGATGTAAACATGAGCTGAACATAAGACCCTTTCCATTTTTCCCTGTTACTGCAGTTTGACCTAAACATTTGACCAGAAGTTACACAGCATGACATTGGTTTGGCACTATGAGCACCTGCACTTAGGTCCAAAGGGTAAGCCAGGGCATCTGCAACATACCGACCCGTTTGAGGAATACAGGTCTGCTGCCTGTAACCAAAAGCAGTGGCAGCATGGTAGGAATTAAAGAGATGTCCACCACCATCACACGTCAGCTGGTCAGTTAGCACTGCTAAGTGAATTACTCAGGTCATTACTGAAGTAGCAACCTGTACTTATTTCCCAGTACAGTAAAACCTTGGATTGTGAGTAACTTGGTCTGCGAGTGTTTTGCAAGATGAGCAAATTTTTAAAATAAATATTTGATAAACGAGCGAGGTCTTGCAATACGAGCAGTAGGGTATACGCTTTGTCTGCCGAGTGTCACGTGATCACAACTGATATACGAGTGCTTTGGATTACAAACACGTTTCCGGAACGGATTATGCTCGCAATCCAAGGTTTTACTGTACATCGGTTTTCCTTTTGTTTGGCTATGAATGCAACTTACATTTGTGTGTTAAGTTTTAAGTCTGAGTTAAACATGAATGCAGTACTTCACAAAACCTTTTCTATTCGTCCGTGGCGGTGATGGCCCCATTGGACGAGTTGCGTTTCTAAAAAGCAATACCAATTAAACCTTTGCAAGTGGTACTGGTGAGGCTAAAACACTGTCCGCAACATCTCCCTTTCGTGTGCAGATGGCCTGTCTTCATGCAACCCATGTGGCTACAGTAATAATAATGTGGCTCAGCCTGTTAATGGTTCTCTAGCACGTTGTCATGCTGCGTCTTTTTTTGCAAACAGCTTAACAGACCATTAGCGTGTGTGGGCAGTGTCCAAATTATTTTGAAAAAAATACATTATCAAGCATAAAGATTTAAAAGTATGCTCTGTGCAAATATCACATAATCAGTATCAAGCAGTCCATACCATTAATCTGTACATGATTGGCATGCAAATACAGCTGTGGTGTTCAAACATTGCTACGCTCACCAGGCCCTAGTGCCGAACCCAAACCCTTCACATTAACATTTGCCCGTAGCCTTTACATTTATCACAGAAGTGTGAAATGTTCCATACTAGATGAGCAGTCAAAATGCTGAAAAAGTGAGATGGTAATCAAAATGCCAACCTAATATTCAATTTATATTAAAGGCCCATTTATATGTAGAGTAATACCAATATAAATGATAATGGGGCTTGAGAGGGCTGAGATATTGCAAGGTAAAGTCGGCACTTTTAACATGTTATTAAAACCAGCGATGAACCCTTGTTCAGTTTCACTTCTCATGGTCCTTAAGAAGTGAAATACCTCCGATTCATAAAAAAATTTACATCTTGCACAAGGCTGTCAAAACATAGTTTTGCAAACTTGTGTCTATACAAGTCAGCCGTGTTAAGCTATTATACCTGTTTATAACTTTAAAAGGTAGCAATTTAAATTTTTAGATAGCAATAGTTTTTTAATTAACAGTAATGCCCTCCTCCTTGCCTAGATACCCCAAGAACTCACCCCAGGCAGGAGATTGGGAATCTGTGCAGGCTCTTAAATCTGTCATTGAATAAAAAAATACACATATCAAACCATCCTGCACATGAACAAGGACGTAGATTGTAGTTAAATAATGAGCCTTTTTGCTTCACAAACATTTCAGCACTCCATGTGCTAATTAAGTCGGTCACCATTCTTTACCCACCCCCCAGCATAGCACCATCATTTTTTAAACTTGCTGCACCACATTTAAACAAGTCAGAACAGTTGGATGTGCATCGTATCCGTGCATTTCCGGACAAGTTTTGAAATACAGTCGTCTTCTACCTGGTTTAACCTCTGCATTGATGTTCTAGGCTAAATAATTGCGTGTCCATTCACTACATTAGCAATCTTACTCAAATAAGCACACCACTTAATATTCGAATATTGAGTTTCCTGATAGTAAAGCAATTTGGCCATTTCATGTCTTTAACAATGCTCTTCAGGAACACACCACCAATAACCACGTTTATCTATTGCTGCTCATGAAAGTATTTGACTAAATATGAAGACCAGGTACAATGCCAATTAACATGCAGTAGAAAAAAAATCTGCAATGTGCAATCATTTAACTGATAAAACCAAGAATTCTGAGCAAGTGAACAATGGATGCATGTTAAACTATGGTCTGGTGAGTGGAAATCACAGTTGTGCCACTACCCATCTGTCTTGTCTTCACTGAGGTGCACAAATTCCCCCAATAAAACCAAAGCCGAAGTCTTCAAACCAGAGTGCTGTGACCAACGGCATGTGCACAGCCTACAAGACATCACTGCACACGTGGAATATAGCTTGGCCCAGCCAAGTGCCATCTGTTGAAGGCATGACCACTCACACCATCTGGCTCTGCCAATACCAAGCCAGTCTGAGGGAGATAAGAATTAAAAAATTAATGTTTTATTTTAAGTTGTTACACGAAAGATTTTTTGAAATGTTTAAATAAAAAATAAAATCTAATTTGTTCATTTGTACATCTTCATATTTAAAACTATGACATGTGTGATGTAAACTACAGCTACTGCAGTTGTATTTATTATACAAAAAGTACTAATCTTTGGGATGTAATTTCTTAAAGTTGCAAATTAGTTTTACCACATGACATCACCACGATCTCAGGTGAATGTACACTATTAACCAGTTCTGTACTATACAAAGTGTGAATAAATTACCACACACACTTTCAAATGTTTGGTTCATTTTTATTTCATATTGACTATTTTTGTAAAGCCAAAAGCAGTACTTTTAAAGACCATATTAAATCCTGAAAATAACACCAGTTTAAATACAAACAACGAGCCTGTAATGTTTTAGTGCGGAGGTGTCTGTACTTAACAATTCATTAAATGGGGCACAGGTAGAAAAGTTAAAACGGCAAATGGGGCTTACAGGGAAAAGCCCCGTGCTCTCGCGCACTAAATCACCATGACCGCTCTTCGTGCATGAGGTTGATGTAACAATGCATTGACCCACACTTGATATCTTTTCAGGGTGGAAGTTTGCCACAATCGTGGCCAATCACAGGTTTCCCCTGCAACGTAAATTTGTTGCTCAACCCAGGGATTATAAAAAAAAACCCCCATGAGCATACGAGCACCATGGGAAACGGGCCACGGTCGCAAGCCCCCAGGCGTATTTAGGCGTCGTGCACACGACGCGTGCACACGTTGCACCGGATTATGAATAAACACCAGCAGCTGTACACAAGTCAAGAAATAAACGCATGGCACTGCCACAAATGCTGTTAGGCTATATTTCAACTCTTAACGTTCTCACCATTTCATAAAAACAGACCACAGCCCCCCCCCCCCCCCCCCCCCAGTCTCCAATTCAAGTGGTCGTTCAGCCTCATTCCTAACGCAAACATGAGTACCAAATTACACATTTACCGAATGACCACTGGGAATGACGCAGAAGGGTTACACCTCATAAAACATGGTAGAGATACAATGTGTTAGCCTTCACAAGCCCGCACAATGCAGGATAGCTCAAGGGTAATTGACCAATCATGCATTGACTAACTCAAGCAACACCGCTAACAGATGGAAAACCTGATGTAGAATTTTGGGGAAAATATAATTTAAGATATTGACCCAGAACAGGTGGGTCCTGCAAAGGTCATGCATATCAATAAATCCCCCTTACAGGGGTGACTTTTTATATATGTCACAGCATGTCATACTAAATGAAGCAACGTCAGTGAATAAGCCCAACTATTTGAGTTCCTTGTACATGTGTGATTAGAGCCAAAATAGCTATAACTGTACATGGTTAAACCCGTCAAACAGCTGTAACAGCCGCAATGTTTACTTAGTGCTGCGTGTACAAGACCTTGTCACTGTGCCTTACTGGGTTGCCATGTGCCAGGGAAGTAAACGGTTAAGGGGTAGGAGGGAGTCAGGGTTACAGAGGGCACCAACACAACCAGGATTGGAGCAGGCATGCCCTACCGTCCGAATCGCACGTGGGTGCCCAGCTATTTAAACCAGCTCAAAGCCAAATCCTCGTGCACCAAAACAAATCCTACTGCACTTCCACAGAGCAAGATCTCTGCCGAGTTAGCAGCTTCTCCGATCTAGCGGCATGCAGCATCCACTACTGTGGGCGGAGTACATTCTTCTGGGATGAAGAAAACACTGCATGTGTGGATCTCAGCAAATCTGACACAGATCCATACCCCTCCTCCTCTTGGATCTGGATGCGGAGGGAAGTCTTCAGCTGCAGCCCCAGGAACACGCACATGTTGTGCGAGCTGAGTCGGAGTGGGTCGAGGGAGCCATCAACACCATGCCCGCTCAGTCATGGCAGGACCCTCTGTCAGGCTGGAAACCTCCCCCACTGGTAAAAGCATTTGTTTCATTCATTGCATTATATAGAACCCATAACTGTACAATTCCAATGAAGGTATGGGCTGTGTTATTTCTGCTTTCGAAAATATACTACCCCCACACCGAGACAGAACCATAACACAAACTCTTCAGAGACTTTTTGCTATTTCCTACCACGGCTGGAATAGGTCGAATAATTTTCTTTCCCACTTGCCCTCAATTCCCCTTAAGTTTTCGACATCGTTTATTTTATTTTTTAAGACAAAAGAGACCGCGTCTTGGTGCGCGCAAGCTATCTCCCGCTGCTACTTAAGGGACTTTATGAACGAGTCCAGGTTGTACTCAGAGTCGTACTGCTCCTGGTCCCACAGGTCTCCCAGGTTCTCCAGAACAGACTTTATGGTCTCCTTCTTGGAAGCTCCTCCGCTTGAGGGAGCATCCTCCGACAGACCGCCCTGCTTCACGCAACCAGAGAAAAACGTGCAACAGTGAGGCACTGCTCTAGTAACTGTTGGTGGTAATGGTGCAAGCGGTGTTTATTGAGAGATCGCGCTGATGGAAACGGTGCTGATAGCGGCTCGCTTGTGGCGAGTCCCGACGGTAACCGTGCTGGTACTGAAGGAGTTGGTGGGAAAGGTAACTACAGAATCAGAATCTTTATGTATACTGGAGGAATCCGATAATCTATTAAGCCGTTTTTCACAGATGTCCAGTATAGCAAGTGTTGATACTTATTTTTCAGATAACTATATGGTAATGATCATGGATGGTTTATTTTTCAGATAACTATATGGTAATAATCATGGATGGTTTTACCCAAGATGACAATGTTAAATAGTGAAAAAAGAGACTGTGCTAAGGGCAAAGGTGCTGCTGATGAAGATGCTGGTCACAGTGGTTATGAAAATGGTTCAAAGAGGACAATGGTCTTGACACAACCATGCACCAATGTATTTCCAAGTGAAATAATAGCGAATTATTTCATACGCCCACTTATTTCAAGTAGTAACCAAAATTCACTGTTGTTGGCCACATAAAATTGCAACAACGTAAAGTTAATATCTGGTGGTACTGACAAATGAAATATCTGGTCCAGGCTCAGGGACTCAAGGCAATGTCGCTTTTGGCTGTGGTGCTGACTACTATAAACAAGGGGGGGGGGGCAATGATGCTGGTGATGAGGATCCTGGTAGTGAGGATGATGCAGATGGCTATGGTGTTCATCACAGCGGTTCTGTTCAGGGTAGCGACGGATCTGACGGCCATGCTCCTGACGAGCGTGGTGCTGCCAAGGATCCTGGTAGTGAGGATGATGCAGATGGCTATGGTGTTCATCACAGCGGTTCTGTTCAGGGTAGCGACGGATCTGACGGCCATGCTCCTGACGAGCGTGGTGCTGCCAAGGATGCTGGTAGTGAGGATGATGCAGATGGCTATGGTGTTCATCACAGCGGTTCTGTTCAGGGTAGCGACGGATCTGACGGCCATGCTCCTGACGAGCGTGGTGCTGCCAAGGACGATTGGGCACCTTCTCGAGGGTGAAGAGGTCGAGCAGCTGCTCGGTGCCCATGCTCTGCAGGCTGGCATTGTCCTGGTTGATCACGGTATTGGCGATGCTCAGCTTGAACTTTTGCAGCCCCATGATCTTCTCCTCAAGCGTACCACGCGTGATCAGGCGGTACACGTTCACCACGCGTTTCTGCCGGTGCAAGCACACAAGCACGCACAGCCGTGAATACGGAGGCCGTGCCACCGACCAACTTGTCACAATGTCCTCCCGAGCTTGGGTTCCCACCTCTAATTGTTGTGGCCCTCCAAGAAGCATTCAAAAACCACTCAACCTGCCAACCAGAATTGGGCATTGCCAGTTATGAACAAGAGGCTAATTGGATGGCATCGCAGGGACTCAATAAGCACGATTAACAAGGGGCCTTGATAGATTCGTCAATAACAGTGTCTTAAAAATAAATAGTATATAGTAGGCAATGGCCCTTCTTCACAGCAGAGGCGTGTGCTGTGAAGGGCCATGGCCAAAAACATATTTTGTATGTTTTCTTTCTTAAGGCAGTATTATTGATTGCTGCGGAGTTTTTTTTGTTACATGTGCTTGCGCACCACTGCCAACGACGCAATATTATAGAATAATGTTTTACGAGCAAAGTGGAGGGAAAGCAGATGTGTTGTTGCTAGACCAGAGAAAGTTGTTCGCGCAACCTTGGACACCTTTGATTAGCACAGTTGGCTAGGTACGGTGCGAAAGAAGTTCAACATACGTACAAGCTATGAATTAGTCATTAAAATGTGTTATTATACATCTGATAAATGCCTCCAATTGTGTTTAAGAATGAATAAATTATTTAGCCAGATTATATGCAGATCATATGCAAACATGACCTTTAACGAAACAAATGAGATGTTAAACGAGAAAATGTACTCAAAACACAACGGTGCAAAACTAAAGAAAATATTGTGGTAAAAATTACAACAAAAAATAATTATTTTAGGGGTAGTTTGGTGGTGATTCATGACTAACACCACATTCCCACACCTCCCCAACGGAAGGTACGAAGGGTGGCATGACCGGTAATTGAAACGACCGAAGTAGTCCCGGAAGACCGCAGGACAAGTCACTCCGCGAAACATTGTGTCGACAAACCAAGCAGGGTAACCAGAAGCGAGGTGGAGTGGTTTGGTAGTTGACGTTACTGCCGTCACAAGTACCACTGTGGCGGTGGGTCGGGGCGGTTCGCTGCACTCGCCCCTGTACGGCAGCAGCATGCGGAGGAGGCTCACCTGCCCGATGCGGTGCGCACGGTCCATGGCTTGCAGGTCCCTCATGGGGTTCCAGTCGTGCTCCACGAACACGACGGTGTCGGCGCCCGTCAGGTTGAGGCCCAGGCCGCCCACGTGGGTCGTCAGCAGCAGCACGTCGATTGACGGGTCGTTGTTAAACCTGCCCAGGGGGGGTGGGGGGGGGGCATGCACACATTTGTGTCGCCTCGGGGCACAAGCAGTGCTTCGCACCGGTAAACCAGCACCCCCTGGAGAAATTGGGTCAAGAATAATACTGAATTGTTACCGATTGAAATTTAGTTTCAACAGCGACTTCATTCATAGATCCATTCCGAAAGGTGCTTTTGTCAGGCATTACACATTCTTCACAGCTTCACTTATGGTACTGTCAGCTGCCAATTACAGGGAGTTATGCAGAAATGTATGTAATACACTCAAACTGGCATTAGATGGTAAGAGCTTAATAACCTCTCTTTCCAGATCCTCCAGTATTGTGAAGGTGGTTTTTTTACCCCACACACACAAATTCTCAAAAAGGAATTCACAAAAAAACTCAAGC